CCTATTGGGCATTCAATGAATGTCTTTTTTTTTTTTTACATTAATGACTCAATTATCAAGTTATATTTACAAATGCATTATTCATGCATAACGGAATTTAGGAATTAGCTTCCAGTTACTTCTAACAAGGAAATGGGGACAAAAAATATGAGCATACCCAGTGCAACTATGAAACTAGTATATTCTACTCTAGTATCAATTTTGTGTCCATAAAAATTTTCAAACATAAAAATAAGAGTATAAGAAACCAGGTCCTAGGCCAAGGACACAAGCCATGAAAACTTGGATGATCTAGGCAGTAAAAAGAAAACTGTTTTTCTAACTAGTCAGGGGACTCCACTGGGCTTTCATGTCTTCTGACCTCCCCTTGAACAAGGATAAAACCAGACTGTCACAGCAGCTGCTTTCTGGTGTCTTCCTATGATGTGTGGAAAACAGGGCAGGGACACCTCAGTGTTGAAGGACACCTGAATGTAATGGAGATCTGGCTGGTAGAACCTGGCCCAGACTCCTGTTTTAACATAGTTGAGATGGGCACGAAGTGGCAGTACCAGAAGAGTGCTTCCAATGTTAGCTTCTATCTGCAAAACTGTCTTCTCTTCCGCAGTCTGCCCTTTGACTGGCTTTGTGTTCTTTCATGTAGCTGGTGAATCTGATTGACACCTGTGGCCTGCTCCAAAGGCACAGCCATTTCTTAAGGAATGGATGAGTTGCTGTGAGTATTTAAGTGCTCTGTGCAGAATCAAACATCATTTGAGGTATCAAAAGAAATAAAAATGTGGCTTTGTTACCTTGAAAGCATTTTTTCTTTTGTGATTGCCACTTGTGGGAGGGGATAAAGACAAATAATAAAAAAGGAAAGGTTTGAATAAAATTGTTTGAAACTAATGCTACCCATCTTAAGGTCCTTAAATAACAAAAGCTTTATTACAGAAAAAATGTATTGCTGGTGAGGACTATTCAAAGTAATGCAGGTAGCATGTGGCCATTTCTATTCCATTATTTATCCATTAATAATAATGAATACTTTTGTATATGTGCTGTATTGTGTTCTTGGAAGCATTATGTAGCAACAGAGAATCCATAGGGGAGAATGAGCTGTTACTCCGTATGTGTCTTTTCTGAAAGCACAAAAGAGACACTGCCACGCTGTTTCACAGAAGAGGCAATAGGAAAATCAGCAGGCCAGTGGGTTTTCTAAGATTGGTGATGAACTTCACCACAGGCTGCCTGGGCTGCTGTGAAGTGATTGGGCATCCCTGGGAGATGGAGTCTAAGGTTGCGGTTTAGCCAGATAGCCACTTTGTACCCTAGTAACTTTCTTATTAGACTGTCATCTCATTAACTGCGTCATGGCAGATGGTCCCCAAGTGCCACATATTCTACTTTGGGCCATATTGCTGAGTGGTGCTTACCCCTAACACTCAGGTTGCTCCCATCTGCCCAGACAGGTGCTTTCAAACATGACTGAGGCTGTGAGTGCAGACTGTGCTCCAGGAAGTACATTTGCCCCGGGAATGGATTAGAACATAGGTTCCAACTGGAAAAGCCACATTAGCATTTTTTTTTACAGACACAGAGTTTGAGCTTCTGATAATTACTATTTCACCAAATCAACTGAGACTCAGGACTGCAATTAAAAAGAAATGATCTTCCATGTATAATGGCTTTCACACTGCATGATACTATTAAATAACCATCATTAGCTACTAAGGCATGTACCATTCCTTTCCCAGATCCCTTTCTCTGCCAAGAAATTTAAGATCAAGAATGATCAATGAATGACTCATCAGCATTATAATTGTTGATATAGGACATGCAAATCGAAAATTTTCCAAATGATTTAGATGTATGAGGAATTGTTAATGATAATGATATTACCCAGACATTGAAGTTCTTCTAAAGATCCATACTTATGTCTATGTATCTGTAATTTATGAGCTAGTTCAAAAAAAGGAAGTATCTTTAAAATAAAGAACAAGGAGGTTTAGAATAATTTCTCAAGTATTTTGCTAGGTTCTGGGAACAGGAAGCTCAATAAAATAGTTTTTCTTCTCAAAAAAGCTTCTAACCAGGGCACAGACAAATAGACATGAACAACAGTATGATATGATGGGTTTAATAAACAAATGTGTACCAGGTACAAAACCACACAGGGGACTTTAGCTTTCAGGGAAAAGTTATAATGATGTAAGGAAGAGTCTGCTTGAGAACCTACAATTCTTTTTTTTGTTTGTTTGTTTTTGTTTTTGTTTTTCGAGACAGGGTTTCTCTGTGTAGCTTTGGACCCTATCCTGGCACTCGCTATGGAGACCAGGCAGGCCTCGAACTCATAGAGATCCGCCTGCCTTTGCCTCCCGAGTGGTGGGGTTAAAGGGGTGCGCC